TAGCAGTGGCACAATGGCTTGCTGATTTGATTGTGTGGCAGTGGCACAATGGCTTGCCGATATTGTTTGTAGCAGTGGCACAATGGCTTGCTGATTTGATTGTGTGGCAGTGGCACAATGGCTTGCCGATTTTGTGTGTAGCAGTGGCACAATGGCTTGCTGATTTAATTGTGTGGCAGTGGCACAATGGCTTGCCGATTTTGTTTGTAGCAGTGGCACAATGGCTTGCTGATTTATTTTTGTGGCAGTGGCACAATGGCTTGCCAATTTTGTTTGTAGCAGTGCCACAATGGCTTGCTGATTTAATTGTGTGGCAGTGGCACAATGGCTTGCCAATTTTGTTTGTAGCAGTGGCACAATGGCTTGCTGGATTTGTGCAGCAGAGGAACAATGGCTTGCTAAATTTGGATGTAGTGGTGACACACAAAATATGCTCAAGTAATATATACAAACAATGGCATAATGACTTTGTGTAGCGGAAGCACAATGGCCTCGTAAATTTGGATGTAGTGGCGACACACAAAATATGCTCAAGTAACATATACGAACAAATATTATTAACAGAATGACCATTATTATAACCAATTGAAATAACATGTCAAACAATATACGACGAAAGCTATCTTGCAAAGAAGTAGAGTAATTTTTCATTCGTTTACAATTATGTGTTCCAATGCAGGCACGATACTGCTCAATTGATATTCCCATAATGACGATTTAATAATAAACTATCACTGTGATTAATATTTATACCTTGAAGAATGAAGTGCGATGTTCTATCAAGCTTGTATGGCAGCACCTAAAAATTTAATAAAAATACAGTCGATTCGTTCGTTTTAATGGGTGAAATAATTCGACCAAAACACCATTTGTGATCAAACTTTCATCTTACCTTGAAAAATCTTGTCGATAAACAGTCACGCAAAAAAAATATTCGATAAAGCAAGCTGGATTCAAAATTTTACAACACGTAGGGAACAGACACGAGGCACAATGCCACAAAACGTGTTTACAAATTGTAATGGTTCATAGTGGTGTTCGCGAGTCTCAATCAGAGTATTCGGAAAGTCAAATCTGGATCTGGAGTATGTTATTTTTTAAAATTTCTGTGACGTCAAAAAACGTCATAACTGATCATCCGTACCACTGAGATCCGTACGTACATGTAGAATCGAGTTGTCGTACGGCTATACATAGTTCGGCCAACCGGAAACGGACTGGTGCGAGAAAAACACATCGTCAAGAATAGGAGGCTGCCTTCGGCAGCAAAAATTAAAAAACGAGTAAAAATTAAAGTAAAAAATCCGCCCGCCCGCCTCTGAAAATTTGTGAGAGTGTGACGCTAACCAAGTATTTTTTTTTATTTGGCCTAAAGCCCCGGACAGATGGGCAAATTTTCTTGATAAACTTTATTTGTCCGTGCGTACGGCAAAAGTTGACAATTTTTCCTTACCAACTAGGAGCCTTGTCCCAATGCTAGACATGCGAGCTTTTGACAAGGAAAATTTGTTCGTGTGTAGGGCCGCGAAGGAAAACTTGACAAGTGTACAAGAAATACTTCTATGGTTTTGACAAACAAAATTAGGCGACCTTGACGTGATATAAATGTTTGACAACATTCCCTGCACACGAGCGTCGAGCGACAATTAAAACATGTCACGGGAAACTTGTCAAGGGAAACTTGTTGACCGCACACACGAGAAACAAAATTTGTCAAGGAACTTGTGCTGGTCTGTATACAGGGCTCAAGTGTTCCGAAAATTAATTTGGAACACGAAATATTTTAATGTAGGCCTATGTACATGCCATAATTTAAAAAATATGGAACTTACATATTTTTAAAATTATGGCATGTAGCGTACATACATTAAAATGTTTCGTCTTCCAAATTAATTTTCGTAACACTTGAGCCCTGTATACAGACGAGCACAAGTTTCTTGACAAATATTGTTGCTCGTGTGTGCGCTCAACAAGTTTTCTTTGACAAGTTTCCCTTGACATGTTTTGTTGCTCATGTGCACAGAATGTTGCTAAACATTTTAGATATCTCGAGTCAAGGCCGCTTAATTTTGTTTGCCAAAACCATAGAAGTGTTTCCCCATACACGAAACGTAAAAATGCGAAATTTAAACAATATCAAACTATTCGACCTGAGATTTCAATATCAGTAACGAGCCTCCTTATTAGCGTTTTGAGTGCATGAAGTGTATGACCAGTGAAACAGCTGGTGAAATAAAAAAAACTTGAAAACGTTTTTAAACTTTGTATTTTGCCGAAATAATACACAGTTGCTGAACGACGCTTTCAGTTGCAACATGGGTGGTGGATTTAGTTTTCGACTTTTGTATCGAGTCGTTTTCTTCTCCTTCTGTCTGATTTTCGCCTGTTTTTATCATGGTGGTGGTTCAGAGTATGACAGGCGAGAAGATAAAACAGAACCGAACAAATTAAAAGATGAATTCAAAGGTAAATCCTTGAATGTTGCCGTCTCTCTCGAACAAGACGAACGCGTCCCTAACTTGACAGAAAATGGGAAACAAACTGATGGCCGCAAGGCGCGGAAGAAAACTGATCTTTCAAAGATGGTTAGAAAAGGTAAAATTTGAAAATGTGAGAATGTTAGCACTTTCGAAGAAGTAATTGTTAACCATAATTTATTTTTAGGAACTGCGATGAAAACATTCCAAAGTGAAAGAATACAAAAGAGCCCAGTACTGCCTTTTTCAACTTCATTACCGTCTGAGGTAAACGTTCCACGCAAAGAATCTACAACCATCGCCCACTCAAATGAGACAGAATGGCAACGCGATGGCGGTAAAAATATATCTTCATCGGAAAATCAAATTTTTCACCAGAATGACTCGAGGGAAACAGCCAAAAGAGAAACGTTCGCTTCACTCGCAACTCAACATCTCCGGAACAGACGTGAAATTGATGCGATCTTGGAACGTCCAATCGAATGCACCAATTTTACCTTTACTATCAAGTACGAAGATAACTACAGAGTATGGAACAACTTTTCAATGATGCGCCAAAGCCGAATGTACCGTTATAACGAGTACAGAGTAACGGACGATGGTCTACAAGTTTGTAATTCTTCTGACCCCCGTATTAAACAAAGATAGCGGGATTTGATTGCTCGGGAAAAGGAAGTGTTGGCTTCCAAATATTGTAATGTATCCGTGGACGCGTTTTACTACTCCAAGTACACATTATACAGAAATTTTACTGTTTTCTTCAAACCTACTGAGCAGAGTTTCACAAGGCAAGATTACGGGGTGACTTTTGGATATTTTTAATTTGTTCGGCAAAGCTCAGTCTGTCCTGCAATGACTATTTGGTTAAAGTAAAATACGAGGATTAATACAACGTTTTGAAAAACTTTTCACTGCTTACAAAGAACAACATGTACGATTACCGTGAATATCGACTCGGAAACGAAGGTCTTGAAATGTGTGCTTCCAATGATTCAAGAATTCGGGCCATTTGGAGAACACGATATTCGTGGGAAAAGTTTAAATACCTTTATACATGCCGCGGATCTGTTGATAAATTATCAGATCTAAGGTACTATACCGTTAATAAGCAGTTCACTGTCTATACCGCATCTAGGAGTCAATATTTCACAAGCAATGACTATGGGGTGAAAAACGGTAAACCTAACAAATGCAAAGAAAAGTTCAGACCCGAATAAACAGAGTATACCCAGGAAGACATATTAATGTGCAACGATTCAATCATCAATATAACATACGATGATGAATACAAAGTTCGGACTGACTTTTCAATTCTCTATAACAACAAGGTGTACCATTATACTGAGTATCAAGTTTTGAATCCTGGCATAAAGATTTGTAACTCCACCGATAACTACGTAAGAAATATTTGGAAATTACGTAATGACTGGGTAAAGGCGAGAATGTATCAAAAAAGTTAATAATAAAGCAATAAACCCATTCGAGAGTCTTGGTTGTACCGATAGTATTACATTGTGAATAAGCAGTTCACTGTCTATTCGGCAGCAACGAGTCAGTATTTTACAAAAAATGAGTATGGAGTGGAAGACGGTAAACCTTCTACATGCGAGGAAAAGTTCACACCCGAATCAACAGAGTATACCCAAGAAGATCTATTAATGTGCAACGATTCAATCATCAATATAAAATACGATGATGAATACAAAGTCCAGTCTGACTTTTCAATACTCTATATAAGAACAAGGTGTACGATTATACTGAGTATCGAGTTCTGAATGATGGCATAAAGATTTGTAACTCCACTGATAACTATGTACAGAATATTTGGAAAGTACGTAATAAATGGGTAAAGGAGAGAATACATAAAAAAAGTTGCAATAAACCCATTCGAGAGTCTTGGTTGTACCGAGAGTATTACAGTGTGAATAAGCAGTTCACTGTCTATTCGGCAGCAAGGAGTCAGTATTTCACAAAAAATGAGTATGGAGTGGAAGACGGTAAACCTTCTACATGCGACGAAAAGTTCAGACCCGAATCAACAGAGTATACCCAGGAAGATCTATTAATGTGCAACGATTCAATCATCAATATAACATACGATGATGAATACAAAGTTCGGACTGACTTTTCAATAATCTATAAGAACAAGGTATACGATTATACTGAGTACCGAGTTCTGAATGATGGCATAAAGATTTGTAACTCCACTGATAACAACGTAAGGAATATTTGGAAACTACGTAATGACTGGGTAAAGGGGACAATAGATGAAAAAAGTTGCAATAAACCCGTTGCATACAATGATTTCGACCGATGGGAGTACACTGTGCTGAAGAATTTTAAAGTTCGCATTTTGGCAACAAAGAAGCTGATAGCAAACAACGATTATGGTGTAGATAAAGGTAAACGTATAACATGTGTGCCTGAATGGGCCGATTTTACCTTTACCATAACGTATGAAGATGAATACAGAGTATGGAACAACTTCTCAATGATGTACCAATGTCGAATGTACTATTATGATGAGTACAGAATGACGGATGATGATCTGCAGGTGTGTAATTCTTCTGACCGTCGCATTAAAGAAAAATGGCGGAATTTCATTGTTTCAGAAAAGATAACGATAGCTTTCAAACATTGTAATGTATCGGTGGACGGTTTTTCCTCCCAAAATTACACATTAGATACAAACTTTACCATTTTCTTCAAAGCTACCAATCAAAATTTCAGATGGGAAACTTACGGAGTGATTATGGGGTATTTTGCAATTTGTTCAGGAAACCTCAGATGGTCCTGCAATGATGATTTGGTCAAAGTAAAGTACGGTGAACCATACAATGTTTTTAAAAACTTTTCGCTGTTTTACAACGACAAGAAATACGATTATCGCGGATATCGATTAAGCCACGACATTCTTGAAATGTTTGCTTCGAATGATTCAAGAGTTCAGGCGATTTGGAGAACGCGAAATTCGTGGCAAAAGTCATTACCCGCATCCTGTAATGCAAGATACTACACTGTGACAAAGCAGTTTGCTGTGTATTCGGCAGATAACGGTCAATATTTCAGAAGAAATGACTATGCGGTGATAGACAGTGAACCTTACGTATGCGGCAAAGAAAACTTAAGACCAATTTACGTAATTACAAACTTTAAGATTATTATAGCACCATTATGTGCTTTAGCGCTTTCTATTATTTCTTTGCTATTGTTGTTGATAGTTTACTGCATGCTTCCAGAACTGCGCACACTTCCTGCTTTGAATTTAATGAGTTTTAGCTTTGCCTTGCTGTTGTGGCAGACTTACCTTGTAGTATTTTTGACACTGTATTCTCATGTAGGTAAACTGTTTGAGATACCATGTGCTAAGCAGTTTGTAACAAATAAGTTTATGACGTATAGCATAATTATGAATGCTGCGGTTAATATCTATCACTTAAGGAAAACATTTTGCGGCAATACTCTAGTGAAATCTGATGAACTGAAGAAGTGGAACAGATTTTTGAAGTATAGTTTCTTTAGCTGGGGAGTTCCTGTCATTATAACGATTGTTTACATTGTACTAGTAAAGAAAGATGTTCTAAGGTTTGATCAACCTATTGCGTCTGTGAAGAACGACGTTCAATCGAGCTTAAGATTTTATCGACGCATTGCGAATAGAAAGACGACGGCAAATAATATAGGGATTTATCACCGTGTTGCATCCTTGAAGGGAGATGTCCTGCAGTCAAAGTCGACGTTTAATCAAAGCATTGACATTGTATTTGAAGATGCCGAGTCAAAGTTTAATCAAAGCACTGTATTTGGGAAGGAAGATGCGACGGAAGATGATGCAAGGATTTATCAACCTATAGTATCTTTGAAGAAAGATGTTCAGTCAAGCTTAAAGTTTTATGAGCGCATTCTATTCGCGAATGGAGATGGGAAGGAAGATGATGCAAGGATTTATCAACAGATCTCTGGAAATTGTATCAATGGTCGAATTACTCCTGATTGGTCAGCTGATGTTGATGTATATGGCCTTCAAGGTTGTCTTTTGTTGTACATTATTGGAATGTTCATCTTCACTGCTTATCGAATTCGCCAAAAACTCAAAGCAAGCAGGAACATTGCACAGAAATCGAATGTTGTTAAGCGTCGTAAATTTGTGATATTGCTCAAGCTGTCAACCACTACAGCCTTAAGTTATTGGTTTCCTCTCTTCATATCTAGGATTGTGGATTTTGATTTCGACATAAAGATAGCGTTGTATACTGTAACGTTGCTTACTGGTGCCTACATTGGTATTGCGTTTGTCTTCACACGAAGAAATTATCAGTTGCTCAAGAAAATTTTTTTACCAGCAAACAATAAGCCATCAGTTAACGAAATTCCACTGAATAGACTATAGCCAGTGTGGGAGTATAGAATCTGTAATGCCTTGTATCCAATGTAAAGACGCTCATATAGTACAATGCTATCAATTTAAAATCTATGTACACAATGTGTTTAAGATCGTTGTAGTATAATAAAGTAAATAAAACGCAAAACCTTGTGTGTGTATTTTCAGTAAGTTTCGTCTGCAGGATGGGATGGGCGAAAGTACCCTGACAGTCCTCAATCCACCCCTGGGAAATCTCAGCATGGAGTAATTTATATTTCTCTTATGCGGGTCAGAGTCATATCCTACTCCCTCCAACGACATGAAGCATTCGGTAATTTTCGCCAGCAAAGTCTGGTTTCCATATGGTCGTAACGGTCGTAAAGATTGAGTCAGGATCTTTCTCATCAGCCGAAATACAACATTTTAGAACTGAAAATACGCGGAGTGATTATAACTAGAGAATACTTATGATTTATATGTGGTTTACAGGTATAAACTATTATAAACTGATCGTTGAGAAAGATCGTGACTCTATTTTTACGACCATATGGAAACCACGCTTAAGTTTGTTTGCGCGTTAGTTCCCATGGCAACGGATATGAACACATTTCAAATTATATAATAACCTTAAGAATTCCTGCGATTTCATTGGTCAAGAGCCATGATCTATTGGAGGACAGACGCACGGAAATAAATGTGCAGAATTACTCACAAAAGCTAGCAACTTGGCAAATCTCAATACATTCGGATGCGACTTCAAATTCAATCCGATCTTCGAAAACAAATACTATTTGAGTCAATTGACCCTGTCGATGTCACGTTTTCCAGCTGGTTTCTTCACTTCGTGCAACATAGGCAATGTTTAAGTGCTTTTCAATCACCATAGTGGCTCAGAACAAAATAATTGCCTCTTTATCACACGTTTTTATTTAAAGTTTGTTCGTTCACTGCAACCAGGTATATCAATTATGTTTCGCTACTCTGGTTTAAATAAATGATTACAAAGCCCAGTCGAATTGTAATCAAGACCCAACGTTTCGACACTCCAGTCTAGTGTATTCATCAGGGGTGATCTAAAGTTGCAATCGTGGCTTCTTAAATACCCAAGGAATGACGTCACCTGCCAATGAGATACATGTATTCCTCTGGCAAATAGGCACCGTCATCCCTATTCAAAGCATGATTACTCATATTTATATGCCATGCTTCTAGGCAAAGTCTTTGACCATAGCGATTGTTTGTGGTAATTACTTTAGAGTTTTCCCACGCAATCTCGTGTTTGGTGTGACATACATGGTCGGCTAAAGCTGATTTTCCCTTCTAAAGTTGAAACAGCCTTTCGATGTTCTTTTAGCCATGTACCAAACTGGCGTTTAGATAGAACCAAATACTCTTTCTCGCGGTAACCGCATGGTATAGAATATACAGGATGAGTTTTCTGATTTGTTTTAACAGGATCTTTTGGCTTTTCGAAAATATGGCCTAAAGTCAAATACGGTTTTAAGGCAACCTTAATATTACAATTACTTAATGTTCTCTTGATTGGTTCTGTGACACCTTGAATATATGGAACTATTGCATAACCTTTAACAGAGGTATCACCCTCGGAGTTATTTTGGTTCCTACAAACAGGTGATCTCAGGCAATCATTAAGAAACGTATATTTATATATTTTATTTATTACCGTCTAGCGCATTCTAAGCTTAGCCAATCAGAATTCAGCACGCGACTTAAGCGAGCTTAATTCGTTATTTGGGTAGATCATGAACGCGAGATCTTTGCAAAATTTCGACTTTTCAATTTTATTATATAAAACAAATACATTACATTTAACCGTTGCCTGTTCAGTTATAGATACATAGTATGACCACTGGCCTAGGCGGCTTGCGGACACTTTTTTGTTCTTACCACATATGACGTCATACTGTGTATCTATAACTGTACAGACAACAGTTAAATGTAATCTATTTGTTAAATATGAACATCACAAAAATTTAAATATGTGTCGAACCTAATATCTTCTGCACAAACGAAACTTAAGAATTCCAATCGGTGTATCAATTTTCCATCTTTATATCCGGCAAAAATAGACCCAGTGGCACCTATAGTCAATTTGTTACACGTTCCGCTTTGTGTGCGGATCTGAAGTGTAATGACATTGACATATGCTGTATCTCTGAAACATGGCTGAAACCAATTATACCTGATCATCTTGTCTGTCCCGCTGGCTTTTCTATCATAAGAAAAGACAGAACAAACTGTCGAGGGGGCGGTGTGGCGACTATTTGTAGAAATGATTGGAAAATGCAGATAATGCCAAACTCGGACAATCTGTTTGAATGTCTATGGACAAAAATTGACACACAAAACTCGAATGTCTATGTTGGAACTATATACCACCCTCCTGATCACGATTATAATGAGAATGACCTAATTGAATATTTGATAGACACATGCGAACAAATACTGTCTGTTAAACCAAACTCCAGAATAATCATTGCGGGTGATATTAATAAATTAAATATTCGAAATTTGCTCAATCAGCTGTCGCTCATCCAACTTGTTAAAGTTCCCACAAGGGGTCAAAATATACTTGATGTCTTCATTACGAACGCTCCTCACGATTGGAAAAAAGTTAAAGTAGTGAAAAGCTTAGTAAAATCTGATCATGATATGGTAATAACCTATCCCCGAGATGTAATTAAAGCAGAAAGAAAAAATTCCTATTTTAGAGATGTAAGACAACATAAGAAAATAAATATGTTATATGAATTAGGAACTGTAGACTGGAATATGATAACCAAGGATGGGCAAACTCCAGATGAAATGACGCTGAAATTTTATGAAACGATGTGGCCGATATTTGAAAAGTGTTTCCCACTAATTAAGGTTAGAACCTCTTCACGTGACCCACCGTTTATGTCACCCCTTGTAAAGCATTTGCTAAAGCAAAGGAAAAGAGCTATACAGAAGAGCGATTCCGAATCTCACGCTCGTTTACAAGACCAGATAAACAAGCTAATTCGAGAGAACCAGTTAAATGCCGTCAAACAAGAGAACAAAAATCAGAAAACGGATCAAAACAGTGGTGGTCCAATGTGAACAGTATTACAGGAAGAAATAATCGGAGTCGATCTGTCAGTGCAGCCTTTGATCCTAGTGAGATAAATGTATACTTTCAAAGTATAAACTCGGATCCTCAGTACGCGGCTCCAGAACCTGTCGAGATCCCTGATGGCACCAGGGTTCCTTCGCTCTCTATAAATACTACTTAAATAAATAATACCTTTTACAAAATCTAAAACGAACAGCATCTGGGCCAGATAATCTACCTTACTGGTTTTGGAAGGAATTTGCATTTGAGCTTGCTCCTACCATAACAAATATATTTAACACTTCATTGAAACTTAGCAAAGTTCCTAAAATGTGGAAACATGCAAATGTACTACCAGTACCTAAAGAATCTATCTTAAACTCTCTTAATCAACTAAGACCAATCTCTTTAACAGATATTATAATGAGATTATTTGAAAGAAATGTGTTCAAAACTGAGATAGCACATGTTACAAGACACGCTATTGATTCAGATCAGTTTGCATACAAGGAAGGTCACAATTCGATTATGGCTCTGATCAAGTGCCAACACACATGGTTAAGATGGTTAGAAGGAGATGCAAAATATGTCAGAGTATTATCTTTTCACTTTCGCAAAGCATTCGATAGCGTTCCACACGATATTTTATGTGAGAAGCTTAAGAAGCTCCCCATCAACCCATATGTTACTAATTGGCTGATTAGTTTTTTGGAGGATAGGAAACAGAGGGTAGTGGTTGATAGAATAGAAACTGAATACTTGAACATTAATCGAGG